GACTCTTTAAAGTAGAGACACTACATACTGATATACACCTGAACATCAGCAGGAGAGGACTCTTTAAAGTAGAGACACTACATACTGATATACACCTGAACATCAGCAGGAGAGGACTCTTTAAAGTAGAGACACTACATACTGATATACACCTGAACATCAGCAGGAGAGGACTCTTTAAAGTAGAGACACTAAATACTGATATCTGAACATCAGCAGGAGAGGACTCTTTAAAGTAGAGACACTACACACTCATATACACCTGAACATCAGCAGCATGAGAGGACTCTTTAAAGTAGAGACACTAAATACTGATATCTGAACATCAGCAGGAGAGGACTCTTTAAAGTAGAGACACTACATACTGATATCTGAACATCAGCAGGAGAGGACTCTTTAAAGTAGAGACACTACATACTGATATACACCTGGAATTATGTCCTCTCTAATATTTCAGAGTTTGATGCGGTCACCTTAGCAGCCACGATGCTGACCCCCATCCCGCTGTTGAGAGGTTTCTTCAGAGTGATCGTCTCCACCTCCGGCTCTCTGTGGACGACCTTGTGAAGAAAACACAAATAAATAAACTACAACATGCAACTCCTGCAGAAAATACGTGAGGATGATGAGAGCTGAAGTTTCAAAGCATCTTTCACAACTTTTAAGTGCAAATACGTTGCTTTGCATTCCTGAAATGTTACATCAATTAAATAAAGAAGGGAAGAATTTGAAGGTGAAGTGTTTTACGTCAAGAAGCCAAGAGTTTAAATCTGTTGCTAGAAGAACTGGAAGCTGAGCTGTAACACATATAAAAATGGATGTTTAAACTAAACGTCCTGAAACAGCGTAAACTTTAGGCATTCGTATGGTTCCTGTAGATCAGTGTTTCTCAAACCTTTTCATACCAAGGACCCCTTAACCAATAAAAAAAACACTCGCGGACCACCTAACTCCACAAATATCCAAAAACACATCGTTTTTCTAGAACAGATTACAAATCGCCTGAAAATGGTACAAACCAGTGGCAACATGTGTGATGAAGGTGTTGCGCTGGGCTATATCATGCAACTGAAAGTGGAACTTAAGCTCGCTCCATTGCGGAGATATTCCAGCGAGAGTGCGGAAAACTTTAATTAATTAATTTGTTTCAAATGTGAAATTTTACCAATATACTCACGGACCACTCACGTGGCTCACGGGCCACCAGTGGTCCGCGGACCACACTTTGAGAAGCATTGCTGTAGATGAAAGTAATGTATTGATTGCTCCATAAGTGTTTTATATTTGAACATGTTATTATATTTGAACATCATGTGTTGTATGTTACCATGTATGTGCTCTCTGCAGAGGAATCTGTTTCACTGAAGAACACGGTCCAGTCTCCTCTGGAGTTCGGCTGAGACGTTAAACAGCACAGACCTGGAGGAGAAACAAACATTTAGCTTTTTTGTTTTCTTTAATATTGTATTCATTTTATTTTTGCGTCGTACAGTTAAGTTTATCAATTTCAACGCCTCTCTCCGGACATTTAAAAGCCCACGGTAAATTCCTTTATACATGGAGAGACAGTGGTAATAAATAATAAGTCAAATAGACAAAGTTAATGATAAAAAATATATAATAATAATGATATTATTAATAATTATAACAATACGAATATTTGTAAACAAAGTAATAATCATAATAATACCAAATATTAGGTTAATATTCTTAGTTAAATATAAACAAAAATACAATTAATTTGAATAATTATAATATAAGATGTGAAGTAAAAAGACTTGGATACATAATAAGAATAATTAATATTATAAATATAATTATAATAATTAATATATTCTATTTTAAGATTAAAAAAGAAAGAGATTAAAATTAAAATAAATTAAAAGGAAATACAATTTATTGTAACACATTTTAAGTAAAAATGCGTTAAATAAAAACAAGTGTTTAACAGTATTTTCATATTTAATATATATGACAGACTATGAGAATCCCAGACCTGTCCTGCAGATGGGCTCCAGGAAGTCCCTCAGCCCAGCAGGGGTCCCTGTGATGGAGGAGCAGCTGTACCCCCCCTCAGGCAGCAGGAAGGGAAGCTGCAGGTCCAGACTCTCCTGCAGAAACACCTCCCGACCCTCGCTCAGGATCAGCTGATCCGCTGTGGACCCAGACAGCAACACCACGGCTTCCACCACCTCCTGAAGACACACAGTATTAGGGATGAAGGTTGTTCAGATGAATCACTCTGAGGCAGGACGGGGGAATACTGAGGACATTCCTGCTGATGACTGTAGAGCAGCGGTTCCCAACCTGTGGGCCGGGGCCCCTAGTGGCCCGCGAAGGCATTGCAAGTGGGCCGCCAAATAATTTGCAAAACATGATTTGTGTGGAAACATTTCATTATTAAGATTTTTTTTTATTTGAACCTCCTTTCATTTCTCTTTCTCGATCTTTCTTAGCAACAGTCATTACAGTCCTTGAAAGTGGTCTGTTCTACTGGAGTAGTCACATGTTCTGAATGGACCAATCAGAATAGAGTATTCAACTAAACCGTGTAATAAAAATGTCTGTTTGTTACTGATGGCCAGCTCCTTTTCTAATTAAAACAAAAAGTACTTATTTTATGCTACTTTAAACTCCTATTTTTTTCTACTTTGACTCCACTACATTTATTTAATACCTTTAGCTACTTTTCAGATATAGGTTAATGATAAACAATTGTATACAACACTTCTCAGTTCTGAGAAAAAAGTCAGAATTCTCAATACTTTTTTTTCTGAAATGTTTTTCTTCATAAAAATATATATTTTTTAAAACATTTATTTTCCGGGATTTTGTTTCCTGAGTAATTCATTTATTGTGTTTTCTTTCTGAGACTATTTTTTCAGAAAATAAAGTCAGAATTCAGAACAAACAATATTTTTTTTTAAATCTGAAAATGAGAGAACATGCATATTTAAACATGTCAGGAAACCATTTTTAGCATTGAATATTAAAGTATTAATATTAAACATAATGGTCTTAAAGGTCCCATGTAATGCTTTTCCGGTTATTACCCGTCCCCTTGTGTGTTATGTAGCTTTTTCCAGCTCATACTGTCTGCTCCACGAGCCTCAAAGGGCGGAGCAGCGAGCCCCGCAACGTCCCGCCAACACGGCACCCAGACCCCACGCAACATTCTCCTCTGTTTGTCATTACTGCTGTCATTTTCTGGTTGCTAACAAACGCCATTGTAACACAAACACTGATGTTCCGCTGTAACGGTGGTGGACTCATCAGAACAGAGTGGGCGAGCTGACCAATCAGAGCACAGTGGGCTCACAGGGAGGGGGGGGCAGGAGCTCCAACAAGCCGTTTAGGACAGAGAGTGAATACACATACTACACAGATGCTGTATGAGAAACCAATGTGAGTTTGGAACATTGAACAATATAAATCTATTCTAGTAGACCTCAACAATGGAATTATGATCAGTGGAAATGGCCATGACATGGGACCTTTAATGTCAGTAATGAGGTGGGTAGGTTTCATTGTGATATCATGTTTTACCCTATTCACCTGTAGTGTCCCATCTTTTTGAAAGGATCTGTCCCTAAGTGCATCATCATACTGTAGTTTGAAACATGGAAAGTGGCCTGAGTGCAGCTACAGGTGTGAAGCTTTATATACAGTCTATGGTGTTCCAGGACTCACGGGGGGGATGTGGGGCTCGTTGTTGGCGTACAGGTATCCTGACAGTAAGGTGTGCAGCTGCAGAGAGTTGAGTCTGAAGCAGCTGTTCACCACCGCCTTCACGTCCTGCAGGCTGTACTTGTTCATGGTCAGGAGCGTGGTTGCCTGGAAACAGACGACAAAGCTATTTACATTGCTAGTGCCGACTGAAGTGTGTGCTGAGATACAAACTGCATACAGTAGCTACAACATCAGAAATGTGTCACCTTACAAACAGAGAAGCTTTATGCAGAGTTCACATTCAAAGTGTACAGCACCTGTTTGGCTTATATCTCTATTGATTGTGTTCAATAATGAGTCTACACTAATACTAGCAGGGGTTTGTCCAGAAAAATATAGTATGAGGGCAATACTTTGGCGCTGATATTGTATATAAGATATTAATTCTCACGAGAACATGACGCACGTATACAAGATGGCGGTGCGAACGTAAACAAAAACACATGTCAGTGCTCCGTAAAAACAAAGCTCTCTATGCCGTCTGACGCTCTATTTGACACTAGGGATGTCCCGATCACCTTTGTTTGCTTCCGATCATTTGATTTTGAAAATTTGCTGATACCGATTTTTCCCGATCCGATCTTTATGCAATGCATTAAGAGAAGAAAAAAGAAAAAAAGCATTCAAGTTGTCCCTTAAGGTTATTTTTTTATTTAAATTGGATATTCTATCCAACATGGATATAGCTTCTTTCTTTCACAGCAGCATTGGATCAGTTCAGTTGTGCAGCATTGGATCAAAACAAAATAAAGCTTATCAGTACTCGTTAGCTTACTGCTACAATTACACACTGCGCCCTGCCCACTCTGTTGCCAGATTTGAGAGAAATAAGCAACCAGGTCTATGAAAACAAGCCCCAAAGAAGCAACACATACATGATGTTGTGTAATTTGAAACCAAAACTAAGGCCTCAGGATGACTTAAGACTTGAACATGGTCATTTTTTTTTGTAATATTGAATACAAAATAAAATAAAAGTATTTAAAAAAAAAAAAGAAAATTTTTTAAAAATCCCGATCCCCCGATTTTTTTTCTCCCGATTCCGATCTTTTTGAAAATCACGTGATTGGCTCCGATCCCCCGATCACCGTGAATCGATCGGGACATCTCTATTTGACACAATTTCATATTTTGGAGTAACTATACCATCTTCGAGCAAACAGAACATATTGTTGTTCTGGCAGGCACTTGGAGAATCCCCTTGCCCCATTTTGGTATGAGAGCGCAGCGCACCTGGTTCCCCGGTTCCAGACCAAACCACTGATCTTAGTATTATATTATTAGTAGATATATTTAATCTGCAGTGTTAGCTAAATTGAATGTTTTAAGATATTACCCCAGAGCGTTGTAAAGGTCCAAAAATTGAATTTTTTAAAAATCTAACCAAATATTCGCTGCAATTCTTATGTGTTGCCGTTTAGCCTGAAAAGACTACTGTGCTCATATCATACAAAAGGAAAGCATGCACCTGTATAAATAACAGGGCAACATAAATTATCTTTGAATATAAGAACCAAATAACTCTAGAATATGGAGCTGCCACTTGTAGTCGATCCACAGAAACAAAATGTCTCCAACTTTTTTTTAGTGGATTCCATTGTAAAAGTAAGCTTGGTTTGCTTTGGAAATGTCTAGTTTTCCAAGCCTCTCTATAATCTGGAGGTTTGCTGCTTTTCTCTGTTTTATATCATATCAAGTGAATATCTTTGGACATCTTGGACTCTGAGAAACTGGGATCAATCCCAAATCCCAATAAACTGTCAGTAAGGACCATGCATTTCCCCGTTGCATATTTGGGGTCAGAAGGACCTTGCTTAAAATACTAAATCAATCCCAGTCCAATCTTTTTATACAAAATATTCCAGACGTGTGGTCTAGGAGGGTCTGACCTGAGAGGATGTGTCCCCAGGTTGGCAGTCAGCAGCCAGCTCCAGGCCTGCTCTCCGCCCCAGCGCCCTCGATGGCACTCAGCCTCTGACGCAGAGTGGCCCCCCAGTAGTGAGAAGCGCAGGCCGGGGCCCCCGGGGCTCTGGGACCATCAGCTGGGTTAAAGAGCCAGCAGCTGATGAAGTGGAAGAGCTGCGAGAAACGAGCTGGATGGTGGAGGCGGGGTAAGCCCTGCAGCGCCGGCAGCAGAGACATGCGTTCATCAGGGTGTTCAGAAACCGCTCCTGAAAGATAAAAAAACGTTATTCAAACAGGCCGCCGTGCCGCAGCAGAGACATGCCGTTCATCAGCGTGTTCAGAACCAACTCTTGAAACACACCTTGAAAAAAAGTGCTGCTCCAAAAAGCACCAAGTTGTTTTCACTTCTGAAATAAGGTACAAAATCTGCCAATAGAACAAAGTGAACAAATCTGCCTTTTGTAGAAGATTTCCTTAAAATAAGATGGGTTATTAAACGTTGATCCTATATGCCAAAATGCACTTTTTGTACGGTCTTTTAATACATGAATATGTTGTCCCCGGTGTTCCATGGAACTCACCCAAGTGTCAGAAAACACCAACCCTCTCTCTTTTCCTCCATACCCAAATCTCTTAAAAAGGGGCTGCCAACGGAATCTGATACGACCTGATCCAGATTTGAACACTTCTATGACGTTCACAGAAGTGGCGCTACGGCCTATTGGGCCCAACTCCACCAATCAGCGAGGAGACAAGCCACGGACATTGCCTTTCGAAAGCGCTGGAGACACTGTAGTACATATGCCAGGCCTGTAGATGGTGCTGTTCTCCACCAGAATCAGCCCATGCAAAGACGTGTTACATTCCGAGCGAACATGAGGAATGGCTAAAAATGCATGATCTGTTTGTGTATTCTTGAAAAACAAAACGTATAAATCATGCCTTATATAGGATATGGTCCTACACATGTTGTTCGAAATATAGCCTGATAGGTCCCACTTTCAAGATAAATCAGTCTTGTGATTAGGCTGGGAGAACTACTTTTGGAACGTATATTTTGACCAGAACTCAGGAAATTTGTGTTACAATATGGAGCCCTAAAACGTCAAAGGTTGTTCTGTTTCTGATTTATTCGGTGTTTTCGCACATTAAATATGTAAACAAAAAAAAAATTGTGTTTCATCTGAGATACAACTCAAAAATAGGATGTTCTTGACTTAACAAGATCATGCATGTCTAAAACAAGACCCGATATCTCACTGCAGTGTTTACTTTCTGGAAGTTAGTATTCTTATAGGTGTAAGACATAATTCTGACTAGATATACACACATATACTTGGCAGACATTCGAGTTTTTGTGAGT